TTTCGTTTTATTGCACAATCTATAGATTTTTTTTTGTTGACCTAGTTTCGTTGACAGGGAGAAGCAGCCAAAACCTTCAAGTCCTGATGCCTCATCTGAGATGTATGTTTCTCGCTTGTATTATTACTGAACTCACGAGTCCTTTCTTTTGTAAGGCAATTCCATTGGTCTCAGTCATTGCTAAGGTATAACACAAGCCTTACCTTTTCAGCCCGGCAAAGAAGAAGGCAAAAACTGAGCAGTCGGCTAAAAAGAAAAGATGGATGCTTCCCCTAAAAGGTGTGTAAGACATGAATGTTTATTTCTCACATTGCACCTCTGATGATGCCCACTTATGCTCATTTCTTCAACTACTGGATTTGATTTGTTAGGGGTGGTGGAGCTTCTAGCAAATCCAAGAGTTCAGCAGCTCGTGGGAAACCTGGGCGAAAACCGAAGGAAGTCAATCAAACTGATGCGGAAGATCCCAAGTCTTCCATGAAGACAGAGGACGATAGTGGTACCAAAAACAAGGAGCCTACCCTCGAGGAGTGGAGGTAAATCAGGGTGATGTTGCATCTTCCAAAACTCCTGGAAAATCCAAGACCACTGATGACTCTGTGGCAGCAACTAAAGCTACCACTAGCACCAAGTCGAAAGATGATGGTGGCGCTAGCTCTTCTGCAAAATTGTCGAAAGCCAACATCAACCAGAAGACTGCCGGCGGGAGATCGTCCTCCAGTGCAAAGGGTAAAGGCATCAAGGGCGGTGCGAAGTCCAAAGCTAATGGTACAGGGAAGCCCAAAACTGGTTCCACCAAGGCAAAAGACACCGAGGTGGAAGACAGCACTGATGACGAGTCGGGCAAGAGGAGGAGATTATCAAGGAAAATCCGACATCAAAGGGGCAAGCCAGTGAAGCAAAGAGCGGCAAGAAGCGGCCGAGGGAGGCCAAAACTCGAGTAGGATGGATGGATGGATGTTGCTCCGAATTTGTGTCTGAGAGTTGGCACTTGGCATTTCGCGTAGCATTAGCAGCAGTAAAGCGAGAAGTTTGGGTTCTTTCTCCGTGCAGATCGATTCAAGGGGGGGACTGTTATGGGGGTGAGTTTAAAGAGGGTCATTTTGTAGCGTGAAGCTTAGCTGTCTTTGGTATTGTTGAGATATCAGCAGCAGGAGGGTTAGGATAGTTGGTACTGTTAGATGGGTGTTGTTTAATCGGTCTCTTTTAACCTCCTTTCGTTATCTCTAGTTTATGGTTTATTTAAGGGAGACATAGTGCAGTAGCAGAAGTGAGTCGGGCTAGCCCTTGTTAAATAGATGCTCTGTTTCCTTTTTCTTCTAAATTAATAGATGATCATCATTCTTAGATTCAGATATCAAGTTGGTTTCCAGGCTTTCAACACCCATCATAGCTAATTAGCTATGTTGTTTTCTCTTCCTTTCAGTTATCAACTCTGTGGAAGATTGTTTCAAAGAAATTTCGACAAGTCAGTTTTGAATATTTGAACAGATCTGAGAGCTACCTGAAGTTCTGTAAGCCCCGGTGTGATTTAGAAATCGTGTCTTACCGGCTGGTTGGATCGAAATTCGGGGTATCGGAGTTTGGAAATACTAGGTATCTGACCTTAAACTGGTAAGCCGTTTCAGTGGTATAAAACAGAAGAACTAAGGTTAAATTAATAAAGTGGTTTTAATACATAATATCTTGTTACTTTTTTTTCTTATAATTTTTAGTACGATTTTACTATTCTTCTTGAGGTGAAGATGGAGTTGTTTTACTGTGAAGTAGGGATGTCAATGGGTAAGGTTAGACTGAATTTTGTCAAATCCGAACCCAAACCCATGGGTATATTAAAAAAAAAAAACTTGGGGTAAAATTCAATGGGTTTGGAAAACTCAAACCCAACGCAACCTGTTGGGTATCCACGGGTTCATGGATATCCATGGGTTCTATAAATGCTCAATAACTTCCTATCAAAATAAAAGTCTAACATCAATCTTCCCATTCAAATTATTCGTACAAACAAACACCAATGTAGAACATACAAGCAAATCACAAATTGTTCAACATTAAAGATAAACATCCATAAACAACATAATTAATTGAAGTTTCTTCCTCCTTGTCAACTAAGCTTATACACTTTCTACTTCATTCTACACAATTAAGAAGAACAAATTAGAGAGGGTACATGTTGGAACGGGGTTGGATATGGCTAAACCCGAATCTAACCCAAACCGCAAAATAGTAGAACGAATTTAAACCCAAACCTGATCCATAATCCATCAACACGAATTTTACCCGTTTTAACCGGGTTAGGTTGAGTAGGATATTCGTAAATAGAGTTATATTGCCATCCCTAATAAGGCAGACCAGACCTGACGAGGTAGTGATAGATTAGTAGGGGATGAGTTCATGTGCTTAAGCCCAAAAACTTAAGCATATGCTTAAACTAATCCTATTGGTTGTTAGTAGATTAGGTGGTTAATGAGAAGTTATTAGTTAATAAGTAATTAAGGGTATTGAGGCAGGGGCGGAGCTAGGATTTAGCTTTCGGGGGGGGGGGGGGGGGCGGAGTTCTCTTGATACTTTACCGTAAAGAGCTAAAATTCTATTAAACAAAAACTCATTATATTTATTAAAAGCGCACACAAGAATTTATATTAAATTTGGGATAAATCAGAAAACTATATACAAGTTACTAACTCATTTCAATATTGTGTGGCGTAAACTGTTTTAATAACCAAACGGGAATGTCTATTTATATTAATATTCGGCAAAATGTATTCATTTTATATTAAAAAATAACCTTAAAATTGAAGAATTTAATCGATCTAATTTAAATTAAATAATTAACAAACCAAGTATGAAAGTTTAATCATTTGATCAAATTTTTTAGTTAAATAAAAACATACAGGCCATATAACTAAAAATATTCATCATGTTTCAAACTATCCTTGAAATTTTGAAAATAGTTTGAAAGAAAGCATTTGACAAATAAATTATTATGAAAATCATAGACAAAATTGACTATTTAGGAATCAAAATATAAACTGATTATAAAAAAAGCTGGTGAAAGAATTGGAACGGCATATTATTCATAGCCTTAGCTGTGATAAAAGTAAATGCTGCTATCCATAGGGATCGAAACCTCCACCACTGGCTGAAAGGGAATGGCGCACTGCCACTAGACTACAGGAAATTTTTTAATACTGTTTTCACGTTTGGTTTTTTTATACATAAAATGTAGTTTATACGTCTAATACCAACTTTTGCACGTAACTTTCAAAATTCTCGGGGTGCCGGGGCCCCCCCGAAGGCTTCTGTAGCTCCGCCCCTGTATTGAGGTAAATTGTGTATTTAGTTTATTTAAAATTTAACCTAATTTTTAAAAAAAGATTTAACCTAATTCCATAATTAAATAAAAACTAATCATCAACCCTTCTTCAACCCTAAAATCATAGCCGCCGGTTACGTTTTGTTATCTTGAAAAAGACGTCTTCCTCCTAACCCTCTACCGTCTTCGACCCGACGACTTCTGGCCATTCTCCTTCCTTGGCGCCGTCGCGTTTTCCCTCCCTTCCACATATACATAGTAAGCCACACCGGGCAAGCCTAGGCTGAAAGTAGCTCGGGCTGCTGTCCTGTTTCTCGTTTATAATACCAGCGGAGAAGAAGTTGCAGGAGTTGACGTTTGTCATTTGTGTTTCTCGTTTACGATACCTGCGAGAATATGTTGTTGGTACTCTCCTCAACGTCGACGTCCAGCTAGCGTCGGACCCCAGTATGCTTTTGGTCGTCATCCGGCCAGCTAGCGTTGACCAGTTACCGTCGTCGAACAATTCCCGTTTTCTTTTGTCTCGTCATCGTCTAGTTTGGCGGTGAACTATTGTCGTCCGTCTACGGTCTATCCACCGCCTTCAATGTTTCATCAATTTTTTATGTTCAAATTAGTAACGCACTTTCGTTCAATTAGTAATAAATCAGATGGTAATTAGTTACCTTAGTTAACCTTTTATTCTTAACTTTTTAAATACCGTTGTTAATATTTTATCCTTAAGTTATCACCCTTTTTAATACCGTTTTAAAACTGATATCAGCACAATCCTTTTTAATAGCATTATTACCTTTTTATTATTAAATTTTGTGTTACCATTGTTAAACTTTTATTCTTAAGTTATCATCCCTTTTAACACCATTATTAACTTTTTAAATACCATTTTCAATACTGATACCAGCACAGGAGTGATCCCATTGAGTTTATTATTAACTTTTCATTTTTCATTGTTAACCTTTTATTTTTAAGTTGTCAACCTTTTTTATACCATTATTAACGTTTTAATACCATTTTAAAGCACAACCAACCAGAAGACTCGAACTTCAGACATGAGCCCTTGAGGATGCATATGAAAATCGCTAGCATTAATCTAATGGTAATTACCAACATTAGAGAGAATCATTATTAGTAGCTTTCATATTTGCACGTCAGTTTATTAAAGTATTCAGATTGTATATAATTATTAGATTTTCTTAATATTATCAACGATTATGAAGGGATTATCAATGTTATAATTCAACATTATTAACTATTTGATAGTAATTATCAATTGTTCATGCTGACGTTGTCAATGTGTAGAATATAATTAGTCATTCTATTATTAAAGATATACAATATCGTATTCGTTCTTATAATCATTCTCTTCGACAAATGACTATTAACATTACTTCAAGGTATTATCAACGTTTTTTTTTTCATCAAAAAAGTATTATCAATGTTTTTTTTACCAAATTTCATCGATTTATCATACCATTATCAACGTTAACTCTTGGTATTATTAATGATAGAAATCATCATTATTAACAATTTCTCGTTATTTTTTATGAATTTTTTTTTGGTGATCTATGATATCATTATTAACGATTTTTCATCATTTTTTAATGAAAATCATAGATCGTAAACTTTGTTTTAACGTTGACAAGTAGCGACGGGATGACGTCGGAGGAACTCATGCCCAAAAACCCCACTCATAATCCATTTCAATACCGAGACAAATGATGACGAGATGGTCAGAGGGTGTCATAGGAGGACGCTTTGGCGGCAGGATGGCGATGTCGTCTGAGCACGCTCTGGCGGCTGGCTGGCAGACACGAATCATCGGCAGGCGATAATCATGTCGGTGCCGGGAAGTTGTCGGCGCCTTCCCCTCCAGAATTGGCGAAGAGAGAGAGGCCTAAAATGGTTTAGGGTTTTAATGCTTCTTTCCTATTAATAATAACTATATTAATCAGTTTCCATAACTATAAATTTTTTTTCTTAATTCCTCATTTACCCTTAATAACAAACTAACTACTAACCTTCCATAAACTAACTAAAATCATATTAGCCAATAGGAAGACTTTAAGCATATGCTTAACCTTTTGGGCTTAAGCACAAGATCTAACCCGGATTAGTAGATAAATAAGTGATACAAGTGACAGAGATCCATCCTTGGAGGAAGAGCCATTGGCATTTTATTTTAAACATTAAAACGATTCTAAACATTTTCAGTTCCTTTTGAATTTTTATGGTTTTATTCCCGAATAAGTGATGTGCAAATGGCGAATTGCAGTCATCTCTTTTCTTTCACTATTTTTTATTTTCAAATAGAAAGTTTAAAAGTAACGAATAATTAGAATTTGGCATGGGTCGGTCAAACATGCTGAATTTTAAGTTTTGACCCGTTTTGATAAAGTCTAATTTATAATCACATGGTTCCCTGATACCCGATAAAAATCTCAATCCATACCAGTTTGGCAGGTGAGTCCGTGTTTACCACCATTTTCTAGGAATACGACAACGGCGGTTCCTATCCCAAATCGTGTTGTTCGTTCTTGATTTCCTTAGATTTTATCATGGCCTGACAAAAACCAGAAAGCACAATGATGACAAGATGAAAGTTTTATAAAACAAATTAATGGTGTTCTC